AACAGGGCCCTGATTTAGCTAAGTCCTGACCAGATACTCTGTAATGAGGAGGGATGACTAACTAGGTCTTCTGTTTCCTAGTTTTCTTTCTTCCTTTTTTAATGAGATAAGGTATTATTTATACCAACATTGCTGTCAAGGAGAGGCAAAAGGTTAGGATGAAGGAGATGAAATTTCCAGAGGTGGGATCGAAGTTGATGCAGGAAAGAGTAATTAAAGTCTGTACTTTTTAAAAAAAGAAATAGGAGAATTTTTATATTTGGCTAACGTGGGGAAGCTGATCAGGGTCCTGAGTAAGCTAAGAAACAGTAGATTGAATGTATGCAAAATGAAAAGAGAGAGCTCCCACCTGGGAGCAAGGAACTGCAATGAGCCCCGAAGAAAAGGTATTGAATTCTTCAGGATGTTAGAGGAAACTAATCTGATTTGAAAAGAACAGTTCTGGGTTGAATTTTCTGGGTCACTGGCTTTTTACAATTTACCATAAAGATTTGCAATATAGATTTAGCTAAAACAAGCAGGCTTAGTATCACATACAGAGCCTGGAGAACACAGTACGTAATAAATGCTAGTTCCCTGTGGTCTCCGGATGGCATACAAGCATTGTCTTCCAACATTTTGCAAGAATTGGTTCTATCTTTAAAGGGGGGCTGCAAAGAGGAGCCAAGAATACAAACTGGAAATGAGTAGAAAATCATGATTCATGGGTGAATCTGTATCAAGCATGCATTTGGAAGCATGAGACCTGTACCCATAAATTTGTGTAACTTGCACCTCGAGAGCCTGTTAACTAGAACAGAATAGTCCGTACCTTTTCAACACTTTGGATGTCCTTCTAAAAAGGACACAGTGAAGACACATCTACAGGAGAACAGCAATTTTAAGAACTGGGAGTTGGCCTTGGACGTTTGGAATGATAAGATGCTGCCAAAGTGTCGCTAGTAGCTGAGAACTTGTCACTGACTGGGACGAGACCAGCACTGTGTTCTGTTGCTGGAAATACTTACACGTTGTAAGTCACCACATGTGGGAAAGATACTTATCTTAGCAGAAATTTGCCTCTCTGTAACCTCTGGCCCACTCTTTCTATCACAAAGAAACAAGTAAAATTTTAATTTAATATTCACTTAGTGTTCATTATGGGCCATGAGGAGCCTGACCCCAGCATGTCTCAGTGAACCAGAGAAGATATGGAGAGACCTGGTCACTGGAGATGAGCACGTTTCCAGGACTGGTCAAAGTAGCAGTAAGACACACTGAGGAAGAACAAGACCACCACAACTCCCTGGACAGGAAAAAGGCTGAGAGAGTGGAAGGGCTGTCAGGAAAACAAAACACGTATTTTTCTCTTTTATGCAATCTTCAAAATACCTGCAAGGAGTGAGATTCCCTTCAGACTTCTGCACAGATCAAAGACCATGGGTTCTTCTGAATAACTACTGTCAGAGAAGCAGCCATAGCTTCTCTGGAACCAGACATCTAAGCCAAACCTGTCCTCTGCTGCTCCCAACTGATTAGAGGTCAGGCTTGACTCCCCGTGCCTTGGCTTCCTCATGTAAAATGGGTACTACAACACTGAGTTCACTGGGAGGATCAGTGAGCTAACGACTTATGTGTTCTCCTGATAATCACGACAAATACAGTGGGTCTGCCCTGGCTTCTTTTCTCCCTCCTCACATCCAATCTGCCAGGAAATCCAACTGGACTGACCTTCGAGACATATTCAGAAGCTGACCACTTCTCAGCAACTCTGCCCTCTTGGCCTGAGGTGCCCCCTCCCTCTCACCTGGTTTGTCAGTGGTTCAAAACACAAGGTCAGAGTCCTGCTGTGAAAACGATTCAGATCACAACTCTTTTCTCTCAAGCCTCTGTAGTAGCTTTTTAATCTGACCGTGAGTAAAAGCCACCAAGCTCCACTAGAAACACAATTCAAAATTATGTTCTTGGTGACCCTTGCTGGGTGCACTTTTCTCTGTATCATTCATCTCCATCCATATATTTCACTTAATTGTTTTACCTATGTCTTTCTCCTTCTATTAGAACAGTGAGCTTCAGGGGCAAGGGTTTTGTTTCTTTATTCAGTCCTGGGTCCACAGTGCCTACAACAGTGTCTGGACCACCAAAGCATCTCAATAGAGAGTTGTTGAATTGTTTGAATGAATGCACATAAGGTACTTACAGAAGAACCTGGGGTACACGCTAAGTGTTCAATATCCATTAAGAATTATCTGTACTATGATTCTTCCCCGGTCTTGGTTGTCTTTTCAAATAATTCCTCTACCGAATCACTGCAGTTCCCTACTCTCTGCAGTACCTTCTGCACCAGTACGGGGCAGAAAAGGAATGCTATGTCTAGCCTGTCTTTCTGTTTCCACGCTGTTCCATCCTGTAGGTCCTTATTAATGCTTGTAGGCAACCAAAACAATTATGCACACAGTTTCTCTCAAATCAACACAGGAAAAGACTGGAATCAGAGGGGTATGCATAATCCTTGGATCAGACACTTGTGATCCTGTTAGGGGTGGTGACAAAGTTGCTTAGATGCCATGTTGGGGGTTCTTTGGAATAACCTCAAGCTTTGGGCTACTCTGGGCCATGTTTCATTATGCAGATTAAGTAAAACATGTCAAAGCAGCAGATGCTAATCTTTGCTTATACTGCATTACTTACAATCATATATTACGATCTGTAACATATGATAATATATTGCAACAATATTTTTTATGTAAGATGAATAAAAGCTTTTAAAAAGATGGTCAGCCAGTTTTACATATAGACATACAGATATCAATATGAGCACAGAAATGAAATGTACATATATATGTGTGTGTGTGTGTGTGTGTGTGAGTATTTGGCTATATTCTTGATTGAAATACTGAATTTTAAGATTAGTGAAATGTTGACACAATGGTAGTTCATTTCCTCCTGAAATTATCTTGGTTATAATATAGTTGGTGACTCTGTACCTATAATAAAAATTGAATATAATTTCGTTTTTTGGATCTATTACCATAGTGATCAAGAAACAATAAACAGATATGACCTACTTTTGAGCATTTCACAGGCATTCTTGTTATGTTATTTTGGAGGTGTTGTGAGGTTCACTTACACATAAGCGCACACACACACACACACACACACACGTACCAAAATGCTTTACAAGAACTAAAGTACTACATATACTTAGGCTATTATCCTTTTATTTGAGTACGTTAAATAGACTTACATTTTCGACATGCTAGTAAAGCCTACAGTTAAATTAATACATTCTTTATATTTTCAATGAAGCACTCGCTATTGAAACATTTTATTCAAAGTTGTAGTAGCGATAAAACAACAAGAAACAGAACTCCTGTTAGCACTTCCATGAAGTCTCTGAAGTGAACAAAAGCATGATGGAGTACTGACATTCATTTCACTTTGAGTTAAACACAGCATCACCGCAAGTCTTGAGAGACTATATTAAGTTTTGTGTTTGGGTAATACTGGGAATTCCACAGGCAAGGGCAGAATTATATTTGGTTGGCAAAGTGCCAATCAAATGGCACTTGTCCTAGAGTAGGTGGTCAAGAACTCAGTTCTTGTCAACAAACCTTTGGCCACAGTTGTTTAAACTATCAGGGTCTCAAAATCTTTTGTGCTATTCATTTTGAAAGTAAAATAAACATTGAGAAATGGGATGAAATGAGGCAAAGACTTATTTCTAATGAAAAAGGTATCAAGCTAGAACTGACCTTGTTCAGACAGAGCACATCAGGTAGAACGAATGGAATGGAGCTTTTTCAAGTGCCGTCATCAGACACACACACACACACACACACACACACACAGACACACACACACACACACACACACGTAATTTTCCTTCAAGAACAAAGGACTCAGAAATTGAGGCAAGAGGGAAATGCTTTTACAGCTTTTTCTTTGTTCTCCTTAAAATATATGCTGTAAAATTTCTAGGGTTCACAGTATGTTTCCAAAGATGCCTTCTCCACATTTGGCTGGAGGAGGTACATGCTTTTCATGTGTCTGTTTTTGCTGTAATGGTATATAATGCCTCTTTCTAATAAATTTAACCACAAAAAAAGTCTGCATTCTGCTAATTTATACAAAGCAGGATGCTGTCAGATCAAATTTCATGAAAATGATCTATAAACCAGACTGTCAAAAGTGAAAGGTACTTGGGCAGTACTTAGGGGCAAGAAATACATGGAGACCCTGGGAAGGTTTCTGTGGCTGCGGTAAAACAATGTACTATATAACTCGGCTCATGTTACCTTGACTTGCAAGTTACTGTGAGGTCACAGGAAATCCTGAAATGTTTTCCACATTTTCTTTCATACATTTTATGTCAAATTTCCTGCAATTGAAATCATAAACCCTCCTACTGCTGGACTCTCTTCTGAAGGAAAGGAGATCTTCTGACACTCACCCATGGACACCTAATAACTCAGTTCCTACCAGGGTAACAAGAAACTGAAAGGCAGATTGAAAATAGACTATGATAAGGCTGAAATGTCACATGCCCTCATTTTTTCAACATGAGAACCAAACCAGTGTCATTAAGACAACTCAAAAAGTGCATTTAATCTTTTATTCCTTGGAATTGGAGATAACAGAAGAAATGATAGACTGTCCCAAAGACAGAAAGTCACCATTCCCTCAGACCTCTTATCCAAAATGTACTTGTGGATTTACAGTCTAATTTTAAAACAGCATCTTCTACATGGCTATTCCTGATTCAAGCCCCAGACAACCATATTTTACTGTTTCAGCTATGTTTATGAAAGGATGTCAGGTTTAAGTTAAATGTTCATGTTTAAAATATTCTTTCAAGATTTATCTCTCCCAAAGGCAAAATTTAAAGATAGCTTTTACATGATAAGATGTTATTTGAATATAAATCAACAAAATTGAAAATCATGCTAAACAATGAAGGTTCATTAATGAATACCAATTTTTATGGTTTCACAGCACCATGAATTTTTAGTACACGTTACCTCTCCTGACATATCAGGGGCCATTGGAACAGCAGGCCAGAGAGACGAGTAGATTCCAAAAAACACCACCCAGAGTGCGATGCTGCCCCATATTGCTATGTGGCTAAACTGGAAAGCAAGGAAATTGAAGTTAAAATACTCCTAGGCAGACAGAATGCACAAACGCTAATAAAACCTGCACAGATCCCCTTATTAATTTTTTATCACATTCATGGTAAATATGACATAATTGCAGAGGCATTATAATTTTACTGGGCCTTTCATTAAGTGCTAAACTCTTCCAACAACAGTTATGAGTTTATGGTACTGGAATTTAGAACTAACTGCTCCTTTCCATCTCCTTTGGTGGTTTTCTCCTTGTATTTATTTTATCTTTTTATCTGTTACCATCTTTCTCTCCTTTATTTCTGCTCCACATGCTCTCACAGAAAGATGTTAGACTCTTCTGAGAATATTACTTGTAGGGCACTGACTGTCAAATACCAATTTCTTGTGCCAATCTTTCCCTACAGCAAAGAACTTTAATTTCTTTCTGCTTACTGAGTCTCACTCGGATATAGATATGCTGTAAAACTAATGTGTTGAAAATAGAGCTTGTTTCAGCTAGACTGGGCATTTATAAATGTCTGAGGACAGCTCTCTCAGTAGTATTACTAGTTTGTACAATAATTTTTTAATGAGTTTTCTGCGGAATGCCAGTCTTGTGACACTTCTCTGAAAAGTCGCATGGGCGTGTAAATTTGAAAGTCTTCCCACTTCCTAGGGTAGTTACAATACGAAATAATGTATTATAGGCTCTGAGGAGTCCTGTGATAATACACTTAAGTCTGAATAACTCAGTGTTTCTAAACTACAATCCCTAGTTTTCCTTCTTCCACCATCAAGGATCCATAATTAACTTGCAGACTAGCACAATGGAACAAGTTTGAATAAAAATAACCCAAAATTGGAGCAAATCTGACAGTTCTTGGTTGTGATTACAGAAACTTACCCATGTCCAGTATGAGGTCTCCAATCCAGCTTTCAAGCACACTGTTATCACTACAAACTAAAACAGAGAGGAGAAATGTTATTTTGTTTCATAAATGTGACAGTTCATCAAGTGACTGAGAGTGTGATTTACAAAAGACAGATCGTCCTGAGTTAAACCATGGGGCCACATTATTTGCTGCTTGTTTTGTAATTCAACAAGCAAGACAGAGATGAAGGTATTAGTGGCTGCAGTAGGATGTGGTCAGTCAGAGCTGCCCAGGCGCAGCATGGCGCGGTCAGCGCCATCACAACCCTTCGCAGTGGGTCGTTAAATTAAGTTAAGGTGAGGCAGGTGGGCTCTCAGCAGGATACTGAGTGGCAATTTAGGACTAATATCTGTAGAAATAAACTCCTACTAAAAGGTAAGTGTTAGTAACTTAGGCTACATAAAACATTCTAAAATACAATGATATAAAATGAAAGAAAAACACCCCCGAGATCGGAGCAGCTTAAAATGTCCCTAGGGGACATCTGTGATATGTTGTCTGATTTATCTCTACTTGTACTAGGCATTTTTAGCCAGGTGTTTTCCTATTTCAGTTATGGGGTTCTTTTTTTTTTGGCACTGGGGATCGAACTCCGGACCTTGCACTTGGGAGGCAGTGGAACCACTGAACTAAATCCCTGGCCCTTCACTGTCTGCATTTATGTTGTAAGAGAACAAACCACCAGTCCCTTAAACAAGTTTTTGTCTTTCTTTTACAACTTCAATGGCTTGTTGTCAGAAAAGACCCCCAGATTAGCCCAAACCGTAATCCTATTACAGAATGATATTAATTCCCTATCATTTAGTTATTTAAATACACGCACACACACACACACACACACACACACACACAGACACACACACAAAGCACATGCACACACACATACTTGGATGCTGGAATTGAATCCAGAACCTTCTGCACATTAAGCATGTGCTTTACACTGAGCTACACCCCTGGTCCCCAATACTTGATATTAAAGTCCATTAGATTGTTTTTCTATCAGTCAGCTGTACTAACGGCCACTTGGCATTTGAGACAACACACTTTCCCTGTACAGAGGGAGGCACACAAGAGAACAGAATACCAGGTGGAATAAACTCTTACGAGCCACTAACTGTGTGATTTCCACATTAGCACTCGGTAGTGCTTTTGACTTTCTTTTGTTTTTGTTTTTTTTTTGGCACTGGAGATCGAACTCTGGTCCTTGTGCTTGCAAGGCAGGTGGCAGAACCACTGAGCTAAATCCCCGGCCCATGCTTTTGACTTTTTAAAGGCAAAATGGTGTAAAAACATTTTTTAGACCTTCAGTGGCAGTGAGGAGAACTCAAGACTCTTATCTGTGTTAAGCACAATGATTGGTGTTAAGGGACGCTGTGGGTCCTTGTATTGTGTGGGGTAAATGTAAACGAAGCCTGGAGATCTCTCTCGTTTTAGTTACCATGATCTGGTAGAATAATTACTGCATACTCAAGAATACTTTGAGAATATTTGCTATAGATTCAGAAAAGCAAGAAAATATTAACAATAAGAGCAGAGTAAATTTGAAGAGAAGAAAAAAAAAGAAAAAAGAGAAAATAGGGTAGTAAGAGTAAAGAGAGACTACTGAAAGCCAAAGAAAGTCCTTTAAGGTCAGTGAATCTGACGTTAAAGACCTTCTATAGATAATTTCTTAACAGTCTGAACATCTCATTTAATTTTTTTTGAGACAGGGTCTCACTATGTAGTTGAGACTGACCTGGAACTCACTATGCAGCCCAGACTGGTCTCGAACTCACAGCGATCCTCCTGCCTCAGCCTCCTGAGTGCTGGGATTACAGGCATGCGCCACCACACCCGGCTCTCATCGCATTTTTAAAAGGAGCCAGAAATTCACACATTTAAATTTGAAAATAAAATGAGCACAGATGAGAGGGTTTAGTTTTACATGCAAATGAGCAAAAAGTCCAGCACTCACAGTGTAAACAAAGTTTCCCAGCAGCAGGTAATCAGAAGTTTTCCCATTTCCAAATACAGTACCTGTGTGAAAAGAAGACAGCCAACTGAAGGAGGAAACTGACTTGTAATCAATTCTGAGTCCACAAGATATAGATAAATAAATTAAATCAATAAAAGTCAGTTAAGGAAAGTGTAGAGCCATGGGCATTAAGATCAGAGAAGGCATTCTGCACACCGATAAAGAACATTACTGATAATATGGATGAGGGTTGTGGAAAACTCCTTGTTTTCTCTCAAAAAGCCTCTGGTATCAACCCAAAAGGGATTCATAAAAGCAACTGATAGATCTTTGAGGCTGAAGTTATGGCATATTTTAAAGCATTTTATTTTGCCAGCTATGATTAAGAAAAGTGGCTTTAGATGAAGGAAGTGGTACCTAACAAAAGATTATTACTCACAAAAACATTGAATGACAAAATTGATCAGAGCACTGGCACCACCAGAAACTCTAAGATCCATGGTATATGTAATACAATGCTCTATCTGTGCATATATTCAACAGTATTTATTTAAAGTCTAGCATGAAAAGCAAAATGCATTTGAGTAACGCATGGGAGGGGATAGGGAGACTGGAGATGGTTTGTGTTCAGGTGAGGCTTAGTTCTTTCACTGTGTTGTTGTGTGGTTACTGATGTTCATCCCCCAGGGAACTCAGCTCCTTTACCTAAAGGATGGAACGGGACCCCTACCCAGAGGGGACCCAAGGTTCACATGAGGTCATATGTACAGCACCAAGCATGGTGTCTGCAAGGCAGGCCAGCATGTGGATGATTCTGGTAAAACACTTCTCCTAGTTTCTGGTCTCTGTATCCTTTTATACTAAAAAAAAAAAAAAATTACTGAGGAGTCTAAAAAGCTTTTGCATCTGGGGTTTATAGCTATCAACAGTTACTAAATTAGAAATGAAAACAGAACATTAAAATATGTATTGTTTTATCTAAGAATAACAGTAGTAAACCAATACATGGTAATATAAACAGATTTTATGAAAAATAGCTATTATCCCAAACAAAAAAAATTAGTGACAAAATTGGCATTGTTTTACATTTTTCTTCTCGTTAATGTCTGACTTAATAAAAGACAGCTGTATTCTCTTCTGTTCTTTTGATTAAAATAGAGAAATTCATTGCTTCTTGGCCTTTTGGCTAAGATCAAGGGTAAAACAGAGAGATTCAGCAGTGTGGAGATGTGTATGGAGTAATAAAGAGTAAGGGAGTATTTTAATAATCTTTTCTAGTAACTGTGGATATCTTTGATACTACATCAAACCTCAATAGGTAGTTTCTTAAAGAGGTAGGAGGAATTTCTTCAAAGAGTAGTCACCAGCACAGAAACCGAAATGGGATCAGTGAACTTTTTTCACTATAGCCTGTTGGTCCACTTTGCATGGATTTTTGTCCATGTAAAACTCTGCAGCTGGTTCTCCTCATGTGTGGAAAGACCCATGGGCACTGCTCATGACACGGCCCCTGCACTTTGATATGCAGCAGAGGTGTTTTCAGTGTCCTTCCTATGTTGTTATACAGAATATTAAGATGCAAACCAAGAGTCAAGATTAATTGCTTCTTTCAGGACATTGTTAAGTCAAACTGGGCCCATTCAGGTAAAGAATATGACAATTTCTAGCACAAGTCTATCACTGTGCTAAGATGTCAGTAATTTATCTACTGCTGCTTTTGCATCATCAGTTTGCACCAACATAAAGGTGCTGGATATCCCAAAGGGTCTACAGACCACTCTTTAAGAACTATGAGGCAAGGGAACAAATGATTTTGTAATATATTTTGCATGTTTATATTTCTCTTCCTCCCCCTTCTTCTAAAAGCAAAAAACTAATAAAATGATGAGTCTCTCCTTACTTAAAAACTAAAAACAAGGCAAAGAAAAAAGATTAAAATCCTTCCACACTAGAATGGTAAAATAGGTTTATGCTAGATGTCATTCATCCTTTGAGGACAAAAAGAAAGTGTTCTCCAGACTTGGCTAGATGTGGTTTCCACAAGCAGCAGCCCCCGGAATGTCCTGGGCTGCTGGATGGTTCAGGCTATTTCCCAGAAAAACTCACTGGGTGATCTGGGAGCCACTCTCCAGAAGATAGAATGACTTGGGAAATCCTTTCCACTCCTGTCACTGCTAAGATACACTGCTTGCTATTTGGAATGAACAACTTTTGGTATTGAATGTTCTTCTAATTTAGAATGTTGAAATAGTAGTTTAATAGATTGGACATGTCTTATCTTTCACATGTATACTGACTTTGGTCTCTGAATGTTAACTTGCTCTGGATAATTTGTTTAAGGTCAGGCCATCCTGAATTGTACCTTGGACTTTAATATCCCACTGGTCTGAAAAGTGGAAATAATCCAAATGTCTACTGATAAAGTGATACAAAGAACCTAGTATACCTATAGAATGAAATATTATTTATCCATAAAAAGGAATGAAGTAGTGGGCCGGGGATTTAGCTCAGCAGTTCTGCCACCTGCCTTGCAAGCGCAAGGACTCGAGTTCGATCCCTGGTACCAAAAGCAAAGCAAAAACCAAACCAAAACAAAAGGAATGAAGTGCTGATTCATGCTACAACACGGATAAGGCAATGTCACATACATAATTTCCTGCATATAAATGTCCAGAATAGGTCACCCTATGGAGACAGAAAAATTAGTGATTTCCAGGGGCTGGAGAAAGGGTGGGGAGAAACACTGAATACTAATGGCTCTGGGGTTTATGGTGTGATGAAAATATTCTGACATTAGATGATGCTGACATTCACAAAGTTCTGTGAATATACTAAAACCAATAGTGACTTTCATGGTATGTGATTTATATCCCCCCGCAAACCAACAAACAAACTCATTCCCACAGTGTAGAAACTGAGATTATTTACTGTTGTAATTTACTGAGAAATTAATAAAGAGAGATCACAGTCTCTGCCTGGATGTGACTCCACTGCCTGCTCTTAACACCCATCATCATGCTGCATGCTCCTGCAAATCCACCCTCAGTTTTCTGAGCTCCTACGAGAACCTAGATGCTGTTCTAAGAACACTGAATACAGCTAAACTCATTCCTGAATGGTACATGTCGCCTCAACAGGTGAGTACCACAAAGCCATCCAGGACAGCAGGTGACAGAGCCAGGGTGACGCGGCAGGGCTTCTCCGAGCACACTTTCAGGGAGGCTGGGAGAGGCCACTTGAAAGCTGGTGAAGAATGAGCAACAGTCTAGAGCTGGGGAGCTCTGAACAGGGTAAGTCTGGCGGATTTCCAGGGAGGGGGCACACGGTTTGTTTTCTGTTTTACAAGGGTCATGTGGCCACCTATAGCGTGCAGGCTGTAGCAGGCAGCATGCTCTTCTGCTGGTAACTATGAGCTCACACACGGTAGCATGGCCTGGACTTGAGGACTGACAGCTCCTGGAGTGGATGCTGTGTCCTGTTTTTCATTACTGTGGTCATGGAGCACAGGCACCAAAGGGTGGCCGTCTTCCCCAGCATCTTGGGGGCAAGGTCTGCTGCAGGACACAGAAGCACCAGCTCAGGCATCCCAGGGATCCTTCCCAAGCGGCTATTTAATCATTTTTATGTGTATAGGAAATAATTATGATAATATCTCTCAAAACGGACAATAAAATCACTCCCCTGAAAATGAACAGAGACCATGCTTGTACTCCAAGATGAACATAAAAATGTATTAAAAACTGCATCTAAAACTTCATCTCAAGTCCACTTGAAAATACTGGCATGTTTGATTAGGTGCAGTACAAAGTGCTTGATACAACCCTCGTAGTATAATAGACCACATGAAATATTAGCATTATTGTCTTCAAACTATATGTCAACAGATGAAAAAAATCCTGAAAATTTTAACTTCTTGCAAGTTTGGAAAACATGAGAAGTAAGGAAGAAAGACCTTGCATATATTAAATCACTTGGATCCCAAGGGAATAATAAAATTCTTTAAAGTGTGTACAAACGTTGGATGTATTCATTTTGGGTTAAGGAAAGTAACACAAAATGAAACACTGCTGTACTTTTGAAATAAAATGTATATTGACAAGGAGTTAGTTACTTTTCTAAAAAAGTAAAAAGTCATCTCTTAGCATTCATATCCTTTCTACTTACCATACTGAAGGGCTTTTAGTGGAAACCAAAACAGAATAACTGAGTGGAAGAGGCCATTTAAACAATGAACCCAGAAAACCTGAGGGAAAACAAAAATCCATGAGAACCATTTGCGATAAACTAGCTCTGTGAACTCTGACCTTTCTTTTTATCTATGAGCTAGATTCACAAAATGTGTTTCTGTCGGGCCACCACTGTGAATTAATACAACTGACAGACACTTTCTGCCTCTTAGACTTCATGGGTCATTTATTTATTTTTATGTTTCTCAAAATGTTTTTCCAGCTTCACTTGAAAATTTTCCAACTTTTTTAAAAACAAGAAGCCAAAGTTTTAATTTTTCCCCTTAAAAAGAAAAATAAAAGAAACAATAAATGTGGATGCTGAAATTCCTTTTGTGGGCCAATTTTTATAATTCCAGAACAGACTTTTAAAAGTATTGTAATTTGGAGAAATCCCTTTCTCTTGTCTCAAGTGCAATACAAACGTGAACTTTTCAATGGTAACAAGGTGTAATGCTTTTTCTCCTTGTTACGAAAACAAATATATACACACTATATTAAAACTAACAAGTACAACATTTCAATCACGTAATCACTAGAGTATTGAATTTATTAAATATTTTCCACAAATTTTTAAACACCTGTCAGTACCAAGTTTCACATAATTATAACATCATTTAGTAGTTTTTGCTTTTTATGTCTGTTGTATTTGAAGAACAAGAGAGCAGGTCTCACTGGTAATCTGTAACATGAACATGAAAGATTAAGTTATAGAAGAACTATGTGGAATTCTTATGGCCCTCTGAACAGTTGTAGTTTTGTCATTTAAAAGTGCTTCTCACAAACAAAACTTACGCTAAATAAAACTGGCATGTATTAATACTTTTAAGCTGTTCAAACAACAGAAATTAAGTTGCCTGCCTCCCAAAATTTTCCACTGTGATCTCAATATCCTTTGTTAGTTCATCCAGCCACCCTGGATTGTATGATCCAATTTACGGTCCAATACATTACACATTTGAACTTGTGTTACTCATTAACCTTTGTCGCTTCTCCTCACTATGTCATCACCACAAGTTTTTATTTGACAGAAAGCACAGGTGGGTGCAAGAAAAATTAGTTCTACTTTTCCATTTTCCTGACTGATACTTATTGTCACATGCTAATCCTTTAACCCCTGTCACGACCTCAGAACCTCTGAGACCCTTTTTACCATAACAAACGTAAGCATCATCATTCAAGGCAACAATGCTTCTACACTTGGGACCCACAGCAACCAGTGTGTACACAACTGTGCATTTTGTAACCACTTGTCCCTGAATTTTAAAATACGTAGAAGGATACGTGGAAAGAATTTTCACTGAAATTAGAAAATTTCATCCTTATACAAAATGGTTCACAACTTGTAAATATAAACTATAAATACTCAAATAGATATGGGAGTTGTATGATCTTCCTGAGTTGCTAGATGACTTTTCTATGTTTTACAGATAATGAAATTATTTTTTCAACTGTAAACAATACAGGAAATAATGCTCTTATATTAAAGTTATCTACTACACGGATACCTTTTCCCTGGCCACAAAACTGTCCACATTGTCATGTACAAAGAGCATAAAGTGACGTGGCTCTGTGGGCATGACCGGCTAATCCTGAGGACTGATTTATGTTTTTAAGTAAGAGTGACATGCCCAAGTTTGTGGCTGGGAAGTTAGCTACTGAGAGAACACCACGAAGCCTGAGCTGCAGGAGATAGGACCTGCGGTGAATACGGGTACAACTGCCAGACTGGCGAGAACTATTAACGTGTACCTGTAGGCCTGGGACCTTCCTAGCTCTCAGATCACCTTTTCAGGGAAACAAGAGCTCAAGTCCACTGTATCTGTCCTGACTGTAGCTTTCCATCCTTTAAAAGTGCCCACCATGGGTTGTGAAAAGTATTACAGAAAGGTGGTAAAATTTAATACAAGTTAGGCATGATAAATACATATTTTGAATTCAAAAGTAAAATGTTAAAAATAAAACTTAGACATTATGTATTATTAAAAATATCCTTCACTAACTATCCTAAGTTCAATATATTGAGTTAAAGCTACATCTAATTATCAGTGAATGCTAATGCACACACACTATACTACATGGAAACAATCTCGGGAGTGTATTGTATTTGTGACTTTTACTTTGATTGCTACAATTTAACTCCTCCACTCATTCTAAACAGAAATATGAATTATCGATAAAAACAGTGGAAACATTTTAGAAGATATACTTGCAGGAAAGTAAACTATGCACAAAATGAGATTTTTTTTTTTGTTTTTGTTTTTGGAATGTCTAAATTACCAGGGGTCACAAGAGATGACAAAAGCCTATGACTTGTTACATGGAATATAAACCTTAAAAAAACCTTTGATTTTTGGATATTTGATCTTGAATTTTAAAATTTTAAGACTTGGAAATACTGAGTATTATAGTTAAACAATAAGTTATTCCCCAAAGACTATAATTTCAATACCTGGTATAATAAATCTAAAATTCTAATTTTTAGGACAGAGTCATTTTACAAACAGAAAATTAGTAAAGAGTGATACAGCAACGCTCACCCCTTCACATGGAAAGCCACCTGCTGTCAGTACTGGATGACTTGACCCCATGAGGGGTGAACATTTCCCCACAGCACTGCAGACAGAAAGCCACAGGACCAGAAGGACAACAACTTCTGTCTGCTACACCAGCTTACTGCTACCTGTGAGCCCCAATAAATAGCAGTTTTCTTTTAATTTTGCAACATAACAAAAGCAAATCAAACTAGCAAGTCTCTATCAGAACCTTAGGAATCAGGACTTGCTGTAGTGGATATGCTTGAGCTAAGGCTGGAGTCTCCTCGCATTGTAGTTGAAGTAATAAAACAGCCCCACTACCAGACACCGGCTCCTACCTTGGTGTTGAAGTCCAGAGCATTCTGAGATGTTTTGTACAATTCAGGGTATTTCAACATATTCTCTTTTCTGCACGATCTCTCAAATATCCCAAGAGTTAAGGGAGGCATTGCTGTAAACATCTAAAGTGATAAACTCATCATTATGCCAAGTAGCCAAATGCAGGGTAAATCTTTTATGTCAGACTATTAAAACAAAACAGGAGCTATCAAATGTGTTAAACTTACCACATTATAAAGACCTATACACCACCTTTCAAAGAGGATCTGCCCAGAAAAGCCATTAACAAAGGCAAACCAGATCTAGAAAAAAACAACAACAGACCCCTAAATTAGAACAAAAACATCAGTGTCTTGCATAGAATTTGTTTTATACACAACTAGCAACAACATATCATTTTTAGGATGCTCTTGCAAATGGTGTTTTTTTATTTTTTCAAATTTAAAGGGATGCTTTCATAAGGTATTTGCTATTTAAATCAGAACTGGTTCAAATTGTTAATTAAAAAAGAAATATATGAATAAGCAACTATTAATTTAAAAATTAGGTAAATTTTATTTCTAAAAGAGAATATATTTACTTATCATTGAATTTTTACAGCTTTCATTCCCTTTTAAAATACCTGTCAGGATGTATTAATGATTTTTTTTAAATTGTAAAAGTGACACCTGTTAATTTAGAAAATAATTTCCCATATTAATAGAATCATCAATTTCTTCTGCGTTAGTTGTACTCACATTAAGATACATTCACAGGTTTTCTTGAAACCTACTACATAGCATGTCATGTGCTGTTCTTCCTCCCTCACAATACAAAACATGAACTTTCTTAAGTTGTTACACATCTTTTTTTTCGGGGTACTGGGGATTGAATCAGGACCTTGTGGTTTTGAAGCAGACAGCCGCACCTCTATAGGTTGGGTGTAACTATTTAAGGCTGTCAGCTTGCTTAGTTTTGCTTTTAAAAATGATTCTAAACTGAATCTCTATATATCTATTTTTCCTTAGGACAAATTCTTGAAGTAGAATTAAGGAGTCAATGTATGTAATTTTTTTAACACTTCTTGATAATTTCTGCCATCAGAATAAACATGAAATTATACATTAAAACATTCAAAACCATTTAAGAGCATAATGTTCTTGTATGTTTGATAACTTTCTTCAAAACAGAAACCATAAGCTTGGAAACAAAGTTAAGGAATAGCATAGAGAAATTTTTCTCAAACATGTCTAAAACATATGCTATATTAAAGTGGTAATTAGCCAGTAATATCTGTATTATTGTTTTAAGAGCAGACCTAATATGTAATTAAAAATCAAGTTGACTTGGAAGAGTAGTACAAAGGCTGGTATAGCAATGAGATTACATAAAACAAAAACACAAAAAACACAACATAACGCCAAAACTGTTAGAGGAAAGAAGTCTGAACATGTGGCTCGAACGGATTTTTGAATCAGAGTGGAAGGGACTTTGCTACACTTCACGTTTCATTTAACCTCATTATGGAAGCATGAATTGCTACAAATCCACCATTTATCAATATATACCCAGGCTGGCCTCCCCATGAACAGGTTCTGCAACCACACTGATCCTCTTCCTTTTTATAGTGGAAGGGAATGATTGAACACATATAAAAACCAATGTCTGCTTCATGAGATGGAAAAGAAAACAAAGCAGCGATAACACATGAAAAATAAATCCAAATTGTGTTGGGGATGTAACACAATTAACAATAACAAAAGCATAGAAATCCGAGTCAAATCTGAAATTCTTACTCGGTTTGCTAAATGTTTTAACAAAAAATTCTGAACATTTGTCCTAAGTAAGGAGCCAGATCATTTGTGCATGTAAACTTTAAAATAATTTTTTACCTTCACTGGAAGTAAGCCTACTTTCCCTTGTGAGTATACACAAGATGATAAAACAGACTTTATGGTGTTTTTGCGTCTTGTGCTTTTGTGATGTTACACTTTTTGGGAGGTGGGCAAACATGTAAACACATATTTGTGGTACTGCAGGTAAAGGCTATATTTTCCTGTTGGCAGTTGTGATGTAGTAATACAGTTTAAGAAGCTCTTTCAGATTTCTTGGGTATGATGGAAATATACGGAATTTGAAAACACAAGTTCTGAATTATGGTCTTTCTAGTCTACAACAGTACAGTCCAGTCTTTCTTGGTCTGAAGAGAGCTGAAGTGCTCTACTTATCAAATTTGCTTAACGAACATATCTGGCTCAAAGCTTACAGTGCTAAACGTATTTGCAGTCATTCATATTGTGTGTTTATGTTAATAAACCTATGTATGGAGAAATGAAAAGGATCAAGATGTGAGATACACAAATGAAAAGGATCAAAATGTGAGATACACACACACACACACACACACACACACACCAACATCCCTTAGTAAATATATCTATTATGTATCACAAATACATAAAATAAAAAGTTGTGTGTGGGTAAGCATTTCAAATGGGAACGGTCCCTTAGCTTTGCTGTAAATAACATTTGGTGCTGATTCAAATAAGCTTTAAATTTAAAACCTTCCTTCAAATCAATGAATACATACAAAAAGTTTCAAATTCAAAATACATTGCAAATAAATATGTATGATATGAAGTATGTTTCAAAATGCACAAATTAACTGCTTTATGTTAGAAAAATTTTAAGTGGAACGCTACCACAGCCTACTTGAAAGACAGGTGAATGTTTTTAGCAATTTATTTTCTGCATTTCAGAAAATTTATATTTTAACTTCTTTTTTTAAATGAAGAAGAAATGACTTGATGCAACTTTTCAAGCCTACAAGTATTTTGGCATTAAAGTTTACTCATTTTAAAGGAGAAAGAGGTCTTTAAGAGTAAAGCAATTCACCAGAAGGCTGATCTCTGGTTAGTTTGAGATTTGTGGTTAAATGATATGTTAGGAACCTATCCCATGCTAAAGAAGACAACACCTAAATTACCATAAGCACACAAAAGTTCCTCCTTTGACTCAATTAAAGCCATGGATAAAGAAAGAAAACACCAGGCCTTCTAGGGCAGTGTATAGATTATTTAAATTCACAGAAAATCTATCTCCTAGCATAATTTCCTGGGAAAGTATTACTTTATTGACTTAAATCAAAGCTTCGGGAAGTTAGAACCACTACATTGTTTGAGGTTCTTGGATGCAACCAATCATTTGAAAGAAAAGGCCTTATTTTGCTAGGAAGCAGTCAGATGTTTCAGAGAAATAAAAGAATCTCTTTAGAAAGAGCCAATAAGCAAACACCTAGAGCTGCTGCCAGGCAGCTTCTGTAAGAGCTTCACACTCCCACCTGCTAAGTCTATATTTACTTGTGGGCCTGTACTTCACAGTAACGGAGGGGCTGGCCAGTGATAGTCCTGGCAGTACACTGATGGGAAAGCAGTTTTGAAGATAATCTATAAAACCCACAGTGTTTGACACTATTTCTTTATTAGTAAAGGAACTTCAGACCTGCTGCTACTGGTATTATTTTCTAAATTCCACCTCCCTGCAGAGGCGTGGCAGCTAAAGCTTCACAGACATTTTCCTGATGGAGCATTTCTGCATATTAAACAGCAGCTTACAAACAGTCAATGAGTTCTCTGCTCCCACGCTTGATCAGCACAAAAAACTGAAAGGATAGGCTGGAGACTGGCAGTTGTCCTCACTAGAGACATTCAGTGATGTGTTTTCTGTCTATTCATTCACAGTATTGACATGAGCCATTAACATCTGCAGAACTTGTTTTGGCTGGCAGAAGTTGGGTATCTGGGAATTGATTTAAAAGGTCAATTCATTTCCAAGACAGTTGAATTATATTCAGAATACAGTTCGGTAAAGTGCTAAAAGAAAAATAAAAATGAGATTTTTTTTCCAGTAAAGTTTAGAATTCACTTCCTTTTCAACGTGTAAAGAATATGATCAGTGTTAAATACTCCATGAAGAGGCTTGAGATTAAAAGCCAAGTGAAAGTTAGGGCTATTCTACCACAAAACACATAATTCTGGGTTTGAAATAGAGTGTGCAAGTTTAGTTTTCATTGAATTTAATATATTTGATTTTCCTCATAAGTACACGAATTTTGCTCACTTCACTGCTGATAATTAATCTAGATTCAAAAAGCACTCGTCAATCTAGATTTAAAATCTAGACTTATTATTTTATAAAATTAAATTTTTATAAGTTTATTTATTGCTGGCATTTTAAACTCCCGGTTTAAAAGTCTTCAAAAGTTTGTTAAATAAATAGTATACTGTTGTTTTGAATGTGTTTTGGGATAAGAAGAATATCATTAGAAAAGTCAGATAAAACCAAGACCTGTCATGTAAAGGTACAAGATCCCAATGATGACTGTAACTGTACTGTATACCTAAAATGTACCAATAAACTCAACGAGGAAAAAATGAATAAGTAAATAAATATAAAATTGAAAAAAAAGAAAAGTCAGATAAAACCAAGACCTGTCATGTAAAGGTACAAGATCCCAATGATGACTGTAACTGTACTGTATACCTAAAATGTACCAATAAACTCAACGAGGAAAAAATGAATAAGTAAATAAATATAAAATTGAAAAAAAAGAAAAGTCAGATAAATGGGGACGGTAATGAAAAATAATTATTTTTAAAAAATCACAAATTTATATATAAAACAGAATTTTTGATCTCCCAAACTATTTTGGAAGCGTATTTTGCCTTTAAAGGATGCATTTTTTTTCCTTACACCAAAACTAGCAGTAAAGAACAGTAAGTTCATGAGATATCTTTTTTATGTTTCCATGTGAATTAGGAATTACGCTTAGTCAAGATTTTAATAATGAGATTAGCAATCTGACAGAGGTACACAGAATAGCTGAGTCAAACTTATAGCAGTCTCCAAAGAGCCTGGTAGATGCGTAATCTAATAATTTATTTGTTTACAGTGCTCCTTCTCTGGTCTAAAATATAGGATCTTATTTCCCTGCAGTATATGGCTCAGTCATGTCTTTTCTGATAGATGTACAAAAACAGTCAACAGAGCAGAGCAGAGGGCAAAGTGACACCGACAAACACGTGTAGGGGAGCCCTCAGCAGATTTACGAGAGTGTGGGCAGGTTCCTGCAGGAGTGGAAGGTGGAGCATTTTCTTGACAAGCTATTGGAGCTGCTTGCCACGCTCTGCAGAGCTGCAAGAGGAATGTGAAACTGGTAACACCTTGAGTTTCATTATTAGAAATGTAGCTGCTGCTGATCTAATCGCTCAATGCCAAAAAAATAGATAACTTATTTCTCACATTCAGTTCACTAGTGCTACGGTGCTCAGCATGGTAGCCACTGGCCACAAAGAGACCTAGACCGCCTGAAATATGCCTTGTCCAAGATATGCTATAAATGTAAAAGGACACATCAGGTTCTCAACACACAGAATGAAGTAGAGAATATAAAAATTCACAGTTTTTATAGTGATTACATGTCAAAAATGACAATATTTTGAATATTCTAAGTTAATAAAATAGGATGTTAAAATCAACCTAAGTTTAATTTCAGCTTTAGTTTTGCTAATGTGGCTTTTAGAAAATTAAAAATTACACGTGTCTTCTGCTGTTGGCAAGCTCCCAGAGGATAGGACCTGTGTTTGATTTACTATGTAGCTGCCACACTAATCCTGGTGCCTGGCATCTAGTAGGTGCTGCAAAAATACTTGTACAGCAAAACACATCTTTCTTAGACATGATGCACCTAATCTGGTTTGCATTTTTTAAGTGATGCTATATTTGACACATGGATAGGATCACAGAAATCACTACCTAGACACAGGAATTAAATATTCTGATATTATCTAAATTCTTATTTCTTATGGAACTCAGAAACCAAAACAGATCTGGATAACAAGGGATATCTGTATGCAACACAGATCTAGGCTTTGAAACATAATAAGAACCATCAGACAACCAGTACCAGCAAAGCTGCTAGGTACCCTGTGGTTCTTCTCCTTTATCTCTCCTGGAAATAGGACACTTATTCTTGGTTTTGTGTTTATCAGCCTTTGCTTTTTTTCTTTTCTCTTAATTTTGACTTAAAAACTTTTTGTTTTTTGTGTTGCTGGGGTTCACTACTTTTCTTTCTTTCTTTTCTTTCTTTTTTTGGGGGGGTACTAGAGATCAAACCTAGGACCTTGTGCTTGTGAGGCAGGTGCAGTGTCATTACTTTTCTTTTTAAACATAGATTTCCATATATATTCATCACCCTTCAACAGTGTGTTTTATTTTTTTATGTTTTATAGTTTGTAGCTTTCAAAAATAAAAACTTACCTCATTGCATTTGTAATTCTAACAGTCAACCAAAGCAATGTAACAGTTTTAGCCAGAATTTAAACACAAATTATTCTCCATGGCTGACATCATTTTCGTTTTAACATTTTTAGAGGTTATAAAAACTGAGTACATGAAGTATTAATGAAAACAAAGAGAAAATACCTTCATAAAAAGTTCTTTAAACATGGATTTTAAACTTAATCTATTACCTCAATGATATAAAGGACTATATTCTTGTAGAAGCAGTACAGGATGCACTTAGAGACTCGGTTATAGTTCCAGGCTCCATGAACCATCAATAAATTCTTCAAATACTTAAACTGAAAGAAGAATGGAAAAAAAAATCAGTATTTTCTTCTTCACAGTGTTGGCTGACTGAAAGGAACAGAGGGACGTTCTGCAGCACTGATGCTTTACCTGAGCTATGGAATAGTCAGAGGAGTTAGCTGCCTGCAGGCCTTCATTGCCACTGATCCCAACACCCACGTGGGCTGTCTGGATCATGCTCACGTCGTTTGCTCCGTCGCCGATCGCTAGGGTTATGACTTTGACTTGCTTCTTAACCATCTCAACAACTTCAGACTTTTGTAGCGGAGAAACCCTTAAAAATTAGAAATTATCAATTACCTCTGGTTTGTGAAAGAAGAAAATTTGAAATGCCACTGTTCTGAAGGATAAATGGGCATATGAATAGTTCACTCCAAATGAATTAAGAACCATTATGAGAGCGTCTCAAGTTTAAAAATGCTTAGTTCTATCAACCTGGTTGCCATCTTAAGGGAAATAAAGTCTTAGAAGCAAATCTCTAGAAATGCTAGAAGATATAAAACTTTTGTTAAACATGAGCTTACTAGAATGTTTGGTTGCATTAATTTGTTAAAAAAGTAACGTCTAGGGCTGGGGATTTAGCTCAGCGGTTTGGTGGCCTGCCTTGCAAGCTCAAGGACCCGAGTTCAATCCCTGGTACCAAAAAAAAAAAGTAACATCTGTGTTCAGAAATTCTATTACTCCCCAACAAATAAGATAAAAAATTCTTTACTTGGGAATGAAAGAGAAGGTCATAAAAGCTACTGAAGAATAGTTAAAACACCAAATAAATCCTATACAGTCTTAGATAATGTACTATATGCTTAGAAAAACTTAAGACACTGCTTAAATTAATGGTAGGGAGCTGCCTAATCTTTTGACCTGATCTCAGTCACCACTGTGAATCTAAACCACAGTAAATACGTAGCTTATTATAGTTCATGTGCTTCATTTTCTTTCAAAGCCACTGACTAATATTCATGTGGTCATCAAGCAACCTTTTATCTAAATATGGATCAGGAATAGGAGACATCAGTATCAATACTAAAATCATATTTGGTGTTAAATGTGGAATAATTTTCACAGGCCTTTAAAAGCCACTCAAGAAATAAATGCCAAAACAATGACAGAAGAATTTCAGGATAGGGCATATCAATGCAATTAATATACTGTTCCTACTATACTGGAAATTTCAAAGACAGAAAGATTACACAATGAATTGGTTCAGCCAACTATTAAGACAGTAATTAAACAGTAAGAAAAAACTGTGATATACAATATTACTGGACAAAGAAATATCTCAGCGCTAAATTCCTCGTCAATGGTAAGTCACACAGGTGTCTAATATCTGCTGAAAGATGTGGCAGATCATTTATTGTTCGATTTTAAAATAAAGATCATTACTCTAAAAGAATTGATGCATCTTTGCACATTTTCCTGATTACTTGTGTAGGAAAAATTCCTAGCAGTGGATACTCTGCACCAATATGTGCCTTCACGGACCCCACTCTCTGTGGGAATGGAATAAGGCAGAGTAGCTCTGGCTTTCACTACAAGTCGGAGGACCACCGCATGAGCCTGGGAGTTGCTTGCAGAGCAAACCAGGCTCCTCTCTGTATTCTCAGTGCCTGATGCAGAGGATGTACTCAATAAATGGTTGCTATATGAAAGAATCATTTTTAGTTTTTTTCTTTGGATTTCCTTTCACAGTCTGGCAATCGTACAAAATGACACACAACTGTGAACTCAGCAAGGGAATGAATGAGTACCAGGACACTAATGGGCTCTTTCATTGCTAGCCTCCATTTCTCTTTGAAGCAATTTTCATTTCATTTTCACATTTTATTTAATTTTTCTTAACAGGCTAATATAAATTGGTAAATCCATTGGCTTTAGGCCAATGTTTTAAACACAGACTGAAGCCGCCATTCAGTAAATATCAAGAAAGAATGCTGTCCAAGACATATTCTAGAAAGCAAATGGGAAATGTGTAGAAACAGAGAAAAGCACTTGATAGAGTCATATCATCGAACCCAAGGAGCTAGGACATAGTGGTGCATTTTTCATAAACTGAGCCTGCATGGTGAGCCAATATTAGTGATTTAAAGCCACATCAGAAGAGCTGGACTAAACTTTGCTTCTTTCTTCATGGTGATTATGAGCAATCTTTTTTTTTTCTCTGCTTGATGCTCAATCTTTAATAACCCCAATCAAAAGTAGTGAAAAGTAGCTGAGGATTTTCACACAATTGTAAGTAAGCTAAGAGTTGGAATACCCTCAGCAAGAACAGTGTCTATTAAATAAAAGACAATGATACAGCGAGAGACATCTCTCACAGCATACTATACCACTTGTGAGGGGGTCTGCTGCCACCAAGCTGAGAGTAAATATCCGGTTTAGAAGAAAATTCAAGAAACAGAGGAAGTCCTCATTTCTGATGAATTTCTGGTTGCTAAACAAAAATGTTGGGTTTAAATAGGAATTCATCAAAAATAAAATATATATTCATAGAACATTTAAGTCAAAATATGAATGTACAAACTTGTGATGTAGGACAAAGAACCTTACTCTGTAGGAAGTAGGACGGTTGAAACTCTACCTATTTTTGTTGAAGAGATTTGATCTACAAGGAATAATATATGGTTTATTTCACTAAAGTGGAGACCAGCATGTAATAATTCCTTGCCCCCAGTTTACAGTTATCTTAAATAGCAAGTTTCAACAACAAATTTTTCTAGCAACTCAAAATCTTTCTAGACCATTTGAAACAGTTGATCTTGACTGTCAACCTAACTGAGTTGGGAAACACTTCAGAAATTAGAAAAATCACTTTTGAGGTGTGTGTCTGTGAGGGTGTTTCCAGAGACAAATGCATAGGAGACAGTAAACTATTGGGGGCAGACTCACCCCGAAGGTGGGTGGTGCCATCCAACAGGCTGGGTACCTGGACTTAATGAAAGTGGAAGGAGAGAGCTGCCAGTCCAGTACGTGCTCTCATTGTTCTTGCTTCCTGGCTGACGTGAGATGAACAGCTTTGCTTTCCCACCCCTCCCACCATGATGTTCTACCTCACTATAGGACACAGCAAAGGAGCCAGCAGCAGACTATGTACTGAAAACTCTGAAATTGTGAGCCACAACAAATCTTTCCTTCTTTAAATTATTATTCTCAGATATTCTGATGGAGGTAAGATACCATGATAACTGTTTTTTTTTTTCTAGCAACAACTTTCATTGGATTATTTCAGTGACTTCAAAATATTTAATGAATGGTGACTACTGTAAGAAGCACCATGAACCACGAACATGTACAGGATGAGCACTAGGTGGAAAGCACCAAGACAACTCATCTACTCAAAAGTGCAAGGGCACATTATAGAAACTGGGCTCTGGGCAAAGGGTGCCAGGGGGTACCTGGCAGCAGGTCTCAGGGAGAGGTTATGCTTTAAGGGGATTCAAAGTCAGTTAAAAAGAACTTCTCCAATGGGAACAATCTTAATCTGTAAATTCAAAATCTGTAATGCTCTAAGGTCTGAAAATTTCAAGTGCCAACCTGATGGTATAGGAAGAAAATTTCACACTCGATGTCATGTGATACTTCAGAGTCAAAACACAGGTGCACTTAAAATATTGTGTATTCTCAGCTACTTAGGAAGCTCAGACAGGAGGACCGCAATTTCAAGGCCAGCGTAGGCAACCTAGTGAGACCCTGTCTCAAAATAAAAGGGTTGAGGATGTAGCTCAGTGGCAGAATGCTTGTCTAACATTTGAGAGGTCCTTGGGTTCAATTCCTAGTACTGCAATAAATCCACAAACACCACCCCCCAACCCAAAAAGCAACTTTAGGTGGCTTGTGTAAGGTGATGTGAAACTTAAAATGAATTTCATGCTTAAACTTAGTGCCCATTCCCAAGATATCGCATTATATAACCAAACATTCCAAAATCTGAAAAAAATCCAAAATGTGAAACTCTTCTGGCCTCAACCATTTTGGATAATGGATATTGAACCTGTACTATTTTCAAAGCATCCATTAAAAAAAAAATTGATCCACATAGAGATGACAATAAAACAAAACAAAAAAAATCTACGTCATTAAAGGTGAGTATAGCATAAAGCTTTCTGACTGAGTTGCCAGTACTCAGTAATTCCGGAAGACGTAGAGACCAGACTGGGCTGTAACAGACCTCTGGGACAAGGCCTCTAGAACTGGCCTTGGCCTTGACAAGGACAAGCGAGCTCACTGCAGGTAAAAGAAACAGCACATATTAAATTTCTTTACACAGTCCAACTTCCCCAGAACACACTCCTTTCTACTGCTGTTTTCCACTTTTTAAAAGGTTATTATTCTGCTGATCAGTTTATTTATTTTGACTTTCGTACACTTCTTTCTGTATATGCACAATTTCCATAATAAACCAGAAAATTAATCCTTCCCAGTGTTTATCAAAATCCTCAGATCTATGGCTGAGAATATGTAAAACTTAAACTTTCCAAGTACCAACAGTTCTCTTCTCTTCCACTGCTGCTCTTTCCTTTTTTGAGAGATGAGGCCCTATAGAAAAGAACTACTGTGGGCCATAAAGGTTTGTTTTTCTTCCTCATGGCTCCACAAATAGAGGGTGGCCCTTGGGCTGCAAGCTAGAAGCATACAAGTGCATTGTGCGTTCAGATACTATTCTGGCTGCAGTTTCTGCACATGTTACTCATTATTTTTCTTATTTGCTTATGTAGTAACTCTCAGTGCTTGTGAACATTAGATCAGAGCCCTGGAAATTTTTGCCATTTAAGCTAAGAAGTATATAGGTGGTCCATCTTATGAGGCTTGTTTGGCACTCTTTTAATGGGATTAGCTAAATGAATCGCCTTTTTGAATGGGATATGGGTAAAGGTCTTATGTACAAGTATATACACAGACATGTAATAAAGAATAATTTGGGGGACTTTTTATAGGTCACCAAAAGACTTATACTATAAACTCAAAAGTAATATTATCTTATTGGTACTACACACACACACACACACACATACACACATATCTGAATTTTTTAGGTTGTTACTCCAAAACACAATCCACTTAAATTATTTTATTCTTGTATTCTTTTTGGCTACCTATGAAAAGGAAAAATAATTAAGAACATGGAAGAATATAATATTTCCTAATTATCTTAAAGTGTTTTATTACAGCAACCAAGTCATGGGAATCACTAAGCTTGAGGTTTGCTTCTGGTGACTTTAGAGTTCAGGATCTGCCATATTTTCTTTTTGCAACAAACTTCCTAAGGTTTCTCCTGTG